ATTCTGAAGTCCCACAAGATCTTGACTTTCTCATTCTCTAAAACCTTCTCAATCTGATGGTCCCAGTTTGTGAAATTTTGCTGCACCCACTAATCAAGTGGTCAACTGTCTCATCTTTCTCATTACAGAGGCGACATTTGCTGTTGGTGGTAAAAGTTGGGTAGGCAAAAAATGACCCAAAGTAGCCAGATAAACAAAGAGAGAAAAAAGAAACCTTTGGTATGAGTTGTCTGGGTTATCCAAATTTCTTCCCTCCCCACTTAGGCAGAATGGGGAGGCACACACTAACAGGACGGCAGTCTCAACAGCCGTTTATAATGTAGCAAGGGAAGGGAAGGCAATGTTTACACAGCTGGTCTTATTTCTTTCTTCTAGAGGACTTTTATCAGTTTGTTATTATCCACAATGTTTCAAGGTCAACTCTTCTTAGGCAGCTTTTACCGGGTACTGTTTGCTACTAGACAGCAATGCAGATAATTAATTCAACATATTTTCTTTTAAGTTCCTAGCTTAAAAAAGCTTCAAAAGAAAATCTAAGCGATTCTCCAAAGTCACCAAGTTACCAAGAAAATCATAGGCATAGAGTGAAAGTTAAACGCCAATGGCTTCCAATTTGCTTTCTAACATCCTTAAGCAGTTCTCAAGATCTGTGACTTCCTTTCTTCTATCTAACGGCTCCATCTGTTTGCTGCTGACCTGAGGGAGGGAGAGTTTTGTAACGTCCGCCCCCCCCCCTTTTCTTCTGCCACTTTCTCTTTAAAAAGCTTTAACCGGAGGTTTAAAAGTTAGTTTACAGGAATGTTGCACTTTCAAGCACTCTTATTATTTCACCCAGACGCTGTCCACATTGATTCCCGTGCTTTGTCTGGCCTTCCAGCTGTGATAGCTCATGTTGGCTACCTATCTTGTTTTGGGTCGGAGGGCAAAAGCAGGCATTTTAGGGGAAGATATTTCACTTTGAGGAGCATGCAGGGTATAGTGCCGTGATGGCGAACCTATGGCATGTGTGCTGGAAGTGGCACACAGAGCCAACTCTCCAGGCATGCCAGCTGTTGCCTGTTGCTCTTCTGGGTTCCGGCGTGCACATGCATGCTGGCCAGCTGATCTTTGCACATGTGAGAGCACCAGAAACTGGAAGAGCAGCTCCCTGGTACGCATGTGCGTCCACTTTTCGGTGTGTGCATGTGCACTGGCCAGTTAGTCTTTATGCACGTATGCACGCCAGAAAACGGAGGATCAGGTGACCAGCACACATAAACACATGGAAAACTGGAAGCTCGACTTCCTGGCACGTGTATGCACACTGGAGAACTGCTCTTCTGGTGTCAGTATTCCCACGTGTATACATCGGGGAGCTGCTCTTCTGGATTTCAGCATTCCCCTGCATGCACTCCCATTTAGGCACTCAGTGCCGAAAAGGTTCACCGACACTGGTATAGTAGAATGATTAAAAGATAGAATCCAATCTGGGTCAGTCTCTGGGTCCAGAGGTTTTGTCTTCCGAGCTTTCGGATTCGTGCTGGAGTTAGAGAGAAGTTCCCTGAAGATGGGCTCCAGCACAAGTCTGAACGCTCAGAAGACAAAAACTCTGGTCCCACAGGAGCTGACATTGCAATGACATGATGTGCGATCTTGGTCCTCCAAGATTGCAGTTGATACTTTTGCCACTGGATGGTCCTTTTGGACCTAAACCATCCCAAAGAGATGGTGACAGGGAAGAGTAAGTCTTGCTGATCTCAGGGACACCACAAAGTCCCTGATTGATCCAAGAGAATCTCTTCTTGGCGGCGGCAGAAAAGCTGCTGAAGTTGGGACAGCTCTGGAACGGGAGGAAAGCGGAAACAGAAAGTGTGTCCATCTGGTGTGGAAATATTATTGTTATAAAAGAGACTGCCCCCCCCCAAAAAAAATTAAAGCTAAATTAAATTTGAAAACAGAAGAAAATAAGCGGTGAAATTAAGCTACATTGGACAGTGTGTTATCTTTTTTTTTTTAATTTTCTTTTATGGCTGGAATTTTTGCAAATATTTCCAATTTTTTAAAGTGAATGGATTAGTTTTTCTTCTACTTCTATGGATTAAAATATTTTTCTTTATTTTTATAATACTGGTTTGGATGAGGGTTTTTTTTTCTATTTTGTTTCACTTAAGAATTTTGTTTCTTTTAAGCCTGGAATATAAAGAAGATATAAAAGGAATACAAAGAGGATTGTAATATCAGAGGGAAAGGAAGTAACACTGCCACTTGGAGGCTGGAGGCTTGAGTCCTGGAAACATTGCCCGTTCTTTTTTCATTTTGATCACTTTGACTTTGCACTTCAAGGTTCTTCAGCTTGTTTATAGAGAGTGATAAGGAGAAGAGCATGGGTTGTTTATATTCCAGGCTTAAAAGAAACAAAATTCTTAAGTGAAACAAAATAGAAAAAAAAACCCTCATCCAAA